AATGAAATTCATAATATTTGCAATTATTCAATGCAAATATTCGTTGCAATTAATGATTGAAATTAAATTTATTGATTTAACCATATCATAAGTTGAACTTTTTTTTTTAATAATAATTACAAATTCATATTTTGACCTCAAAATTTCTTCGTACCAAAAAAAAAAAAAAATCAATATCGCACACTTTCGAGCACCGTACATTTTTCAATATGGTACATTTTAAGTACCGTATATTTCCAATACAGTATACTCTCAGTACCGTATTCTCTTATCGTCATCAAAAATTGGATTTGCATAAATATGTAACTTTAATGTTACTTCCTAATTCATTGAAAAGTGATAGAAAAAATGATTGAAAAAAAATTAAAAGTTTGAAATGTTTTCAAGGAATAGTAGGAAATTGTAATTTTTATGCAAAATTCTAAACATCATTTAAAGGAAAAGTTCACAAATTAAAATTGTAAAATTTCGATAAATATTGATAGATGAATTGCTGCATGTAAAGTAAAAATAAAATTGTACCATTTCTTGCTCAAAATGTATTGGTCATTTTCTCGTTACATTGGTCAAAGTTTTGCGATCAAACTTTCGCAGTATTGAATAACCTAATTCTTAATTAACAATTATCAATGGAAGAAAATCAAACAGTTAAAATGAATAGTATTTTAAAACAGCATTATTGATTTTTTCATTCTATCTCCATATTTGGCAAAAAATTTTAAAAAAAGAAAAAAATGGTACGAAATATCGTACAATATCAAAATACAGTATAATATCTGCAGTAAAATATCAAATACAGTACAATACAATATTTTACAGTATGACACCAAAAATAATGATATAATACTTGAAAATTTAAGGTAAAATTCAGCAAATAATTGAATTCATATCATTTGGCATAAGTGAGAAAAAAATTTCATTTCAAAAATGTTTTTGTGTAACCAATTCGTAGCCAAAATGAAACAAATTTTAAATATTTGGCATTTTGATTATAACTATTTGGATTCAGAAAAAAAATTCCGGTAGCATACAATACTTACCAGTACGGTATTATGTGATACTTACCATATGACACTTATTAATTCGGTAGCATATGATACTTACCAGTACCGTTTGTCTCGTTATTTCATGCAATCAGAAAATAACAGAATGTGAGAATTTGTTTTAAACTAAGCAAATAATACTAATTAATTAATTTGTAACATCATTATGAATGATGATGATTCGTGCTGTTTGCAAAAAATGAAACTGTAATAGTAAAACAAAAAAATTTATGATAAAATTCATAATTGGTAAAATCAAATAAGAAATGAAAAAATTTTTAATTATAAATGCAATCGTTGCATTTTATCGATTGTTTTGAATTGGTCAATTGCTTCTTGAATTTCTTCGATATGTATTGGTGGTGCTAGAAAAAATTATTTATCATTATTAGGGAATTATTAAATGTTAATAAATAAAATTAAATTTTAAAAAGTTAATGATAAAGTATAATTTGTTTACCTGGATAATTCATTGAATCACTTGGAAATTCTTTTTGATCTAATGGTGAAGGTAAATTTTTCAAAAATGGCATCCATGAAATAGCAGACGAATTACGACCCTAAAAATAATTTACTTTTTTTTTTCTTTCAGAAATTTTAATGAAATTTATAAGAAAATTTTGTTTGCATTTTGGATAAATTTTAGAAAAATTAATTTTAAAAAAAATTAATTTTTAAAAAGAAAGAATCAAAAAAATGCAAAATTAATTTTTTAACAAAAAAACAACCAAATATTTTACTTGTAAATGATTGGCATATTGATTTTTAGCATTTTTCGGGAATGCATTCTCGATTTTGGCATGTGTTTTTTCGTCTAACCTTAATTATAAATAAATATTATGAAAATTTTATGCTTTTTTTTATAAAATTTTCAAACTTTTGACCTTTGACTTCTTTAACGAATAAAATCAATTAATTACCTGTATTCATTTAATTGATCTAAATTTGTAAGAAAATCACATGTTTGTGGCATAATAAGCATCATTGATGTAGCTATCGGGCTATATGCCCAAGATTTATGCAATGATACCAATGGCCTGAATAATACTTCCTGTAAATATATTTATAATTAAATATGAAACTATTAAGTATTTCAGGTATTATAACGGAATTTTACGGGAAATATACTGTGTAATATTTTGGAAATGTATAAGCCATTTAAATAGAATCAATAGAAATGCATTAATTTGGAATGAAAAATAATTATAGCATTAATTGATAATCTATTTCCAATCATTTCATATTTTTAAAAATATTTCCAAAAATAATTATTCGAGAATTTTCCGGAATAATTTTTTTTTTTTTTAAATTCTTACCAAAAACATATTGCCACCAATGTCACCACATCGTCTGTTGTATTTTTCCCGTAAACATTCAATGTAACATGATAATGTGCTAAAGAAAAAAAAAAAGGAAGTATTTTCCGGAATTTTCCGGACGATAAACAATAATCAATTTAGCATTCCGGTTTTTGCTTTCCACTAACTTAATCTATAAAATAGACAAAACTAATAAATCTTTTAATTTGACAATTTTTTGTTAGTTGATTGATGTAATTGAAGGTCAAATCAATCAACGACATTTATATTTAATTAACTTTGCTAATTAATTTCTTAATTTATCAGATTGTTTCATTTTGATGCGATAACTATATTATATTTCATTTTTATTGTAATTAATTCCAAAAAAAAA